AGTAATGTAGGTAAATCCGAAATCCAAATATTCGTCGTCATATTTTCTATACTTCTGTTTTTCTTAAGTTTCTTCACTGCCTTCTCCTGAGTCTTCAGTTGGTTTTCCACTTCTTTCAATAAAACTGTCCATAGTCAATATTGAAACTCCGCGTAATTAAACAAATCAAAGCTTGACTGACTGAAACAATATGAAAACGCGGGGGAAAGAGAAACGCGCAGAGAGAGGTCGACGCCGGCCGCCCGCGACTCTTCTACGAGACGACAGAGAAAGAATAGAATACGAACAGAAATCGACATAGCTATATGTAGATCGTCTCACGACGCGGCCGGTATAGAGACGCGACGCCCCAGGGCGTCGCGACGCACAGTTTGGGAAGCCCTGGTGTAAACACAGGCCTTTCATAGAAGGGAACAAATAAGCGCACAGTCTTAACGCATCTACATACAATTAACTAAGAATAAAAATGCAGATGCTTTGTCACTCGTGGAGACTAAAATGGAATGCCTCGTTACAAGTGAAAAAGGACCTCCGGTTCTCTGGAGTCACCATTCGAAACACAGGAGCCTTATTATGGTTTTTTTTTATGGTGGTGTTCTATGAGATTGTGATCATTCCTAAGCCGATTCAACGCACTCGTGGTGCGGCCAAAATAATGTGCGGCAGAATGGCTATACCGCAACATATATTAGCTCTTAAACAGCAGGGGTGAGACGTGGTAGCTCAAGAGAAAGTGTTCACCTAAAATTTAATAGTATTAATGTTCTACAGACCGAATTTCGGTCACGGCGGTCAGTTTTAAAGGAGACTAGCCATCTGTGCAAGATAGTGGATGAGTGTGCGCGCAAGCACAGATCCACTTTCTATTCCCTCACTCTCATAGTCCGATGAGGCATCAATCCGATATTATCGGAGAGAGATTAGACGCAGAACCAACAGCCTTATGTGCTTTCCGCCAACTTTCTGACTCCGAGCTGTTACTGAGAATGTCTTGACAAAAAAAAAACAATAACTGATTTCGGCCCGACCCGGAATTCGAACCTGGGAACACATGATCAACAGTCGCAGCAGCGATTTAAGTACGTTAGCAAACCAAATACGATCCCGGCCGGCACTGAAGTACTGAAAAAATTGATAATTGTTAGTTTTAACCCTTTCGCTGTCCTGTCACAAGCAAATCTACTATTGTGTCTGAAAACCGGGCAATTGAAGTGTTAAGTTCTAATTTATCACGTACATACTTAACAGTGAAGGAAAAATTTACTAAATCTGCACATCTGAAAAAACATTTGAAGGTAGCGAAACGATTTAGGCCAACACTCATCGGGACAACGCGGAGGTACCTTCCATATCCTAAAATCCTCATAGAAAAGAGTAGAGGACGTGCCCAGCTGTTGTTTTTTATATATAGGATAAGATTATTTGAATGTTGTTTTACTTTACTTTTAAAAAACAGAAGGTAATTAAGGTTGTGTCTGAACCTAATTGATCCTTTTTTTTAGAATAACGGTGACAAACGGGTACTCAATCCACCCGATGGTAAATGGATGCTGTGACCTATAGACATCCACATTTATCTTTAATTAAGGATCAAAATTCAGAAGCGTTGTCACCCCTAAGGACTAAAATGGAATGTCTCGTTTCCAGTGAAAGGAGTCCCCGGGTCTGTACACTCACCATACGAAACTCAGCAGCGTTAAGCTGCTATTTTACTCTGGTATTCTGTGACATTTTACCAATATTATCAATATATTTACGTGGTTGAGCCATACTACAGCTACATTACTGGTATAGTTATAGCACGAATAGGTCGGCTCGACCGGGGTAGGACCATGCTCTCACAGAAAACCAGCGTCAAATAGCAGCTTAACGCTGCTGTGTTTCCGGAGACCCTCTATACTGGAAACGAGGCATCCCATCTTAGTTCTCACGGGTGACAACGCATCTGTATTTTGATGTCTATGGGCCACAGCAACCACGTACCATCAGATGGACTGTGTGCTCGTTTGCCACCCTTATAGATACTATTAAAAAAGCTACCAGTCAAAGCGTGTACTATAGTATGTGAGGGTAATATGGTCATCCGGTTAATATGGTCACTTGTTTGCATAGATGGGCTTTATGATACGATAGCTCTTCATCAGTTAATCAAAAGGGTTTTGCTTTATCGACGCCATTTTGACATTTGTAAATGTTTTAGTATTGTGTAGTGTAGTTAGTTTTTTTAAATAGATTTTACGAAGTGTTCCCAATTATTACCAAAGCTTGCTAGCTATTTTTTTAATATATTAGTTATAGTAAACGACTTTGTGTTTTTGTCTCTATCCTGCTACTATTTTGATTAATTTATAAGGTGGCAAAGCATTACCATAGTACCAGTGACCATATTACCCTCACGTACTTTGTTACTATACCAATCGAGTAAACGTTTTCCGAAAATCTAATTGTGTTTAATGCAAGTCCTATAACAATAATTTATACGTTGGCATCGCAATTTAGTGACATAGTCATGTTATTGTGACTTCACGCAGTAAAGCTTAGTCATTGATTTATATGTTACTAGCGTAAGCTTAGTACATTAGTTGTACTATATTTCTGGCATGTAACACTTCCATGTTTTAACTATCAAAGTAATTGTTGTGACACTTTCATCACAAAAATGTTACAAAAAAGTAACCACGACCCCTATTAATGGAATTTTTGTACTATATTCAAGATTGCAAGTTTTTATAGTGAACTTTAATTAAAAAAACGATTTGATAAGTTCGTTGTTACACTCTGAATGTTTCGGCCTCAGGGCCGCACAGGCAATTTATGATGCCGGCTTAGGCTTAAGGTTCAGTGAGTGTTGCAGTGGAGCAGTTCGATCACCCCACCTCAGTCTGTTTCCATCTTCTAACCTGTTCAGTTGTCTACGGGCCTAAATTAAATTTCAGTCCAAATATAACTAAATATACAGTGTTTAAAATATTTTTTTAAACCGTGCTGCTCATCTCCTTATTACATTTCGCATCTTTTATTGAGCTGAAGGTGCTATTACCATGCCGGTAAACATGTATTGTTTTAAAATGTCTGTCTGTTCGTTTATCTGGCTGTCTGTCTATTTGTCAGTTTGTCTGTCCGGACTAACCTTCAGAATAGCTAAACCAATTGTTATGAATATTCACGAGCAGACAGAGAGCAATTCCAGGAGTGACCTAGGTTATAGTTTATGCGCATAACTTAGAGGTTTTTTCGAGGAATCGAAAAATTTATAATATAAATATTCTTTAATGACTATCTAAACTCTATATATTGCCACATTTATAAATCCTAAAATTATTATTAAAATAAAAAGTCAAAGATTCCTTGGTTAATACACAATGACACTCACGATTAGTATTTTCCCTTTAGACGGTAAATTTCACTTGCGACTTTAATTTTATCAATAAAATAAGATTACATTTTTCATATTTTTTAATGTTTTTCATTACAAATAAGACAATTGATAAAGATGTGTCTATATATAGCTTAGTACACAGCTATATGAACCCGTCTGCAACCATGAAAAATAGGGTTCGATAGGTTAAACTATATGAAACCCTCACACTTCGTCACTTGCCTTACTAATGGACTAATCTAAAGTCACTAAAGTATTATTTTAATAGTAGTAGCCCAAAGAATTTAGCGGTGTGTGACCCGCGTGTCTTGGAAAGCACGTAAAACCGTAGGTCCTGCGCCTGATCTCCCTCCGGTCTTGTCGGACTACCGTCCCATCAGACTATAACAGTGATTATATATTATTTATAACAATAAAACGAGCACACAGTACACCTGAAAATAAGTGAATGCTGTAGCCCATATAAATCTGCATCTTCCCTAAATGGAGAATCAAAAATGCAGATGCGATGTCGGGCCTGAGGTCTAAGATGGCCTCACTTCCAGTAAAAAGGGTCGCCGGGTGTTCCGTAAGAGCATAGTCCTACTCCGGTCGAACCAACCCATTCGTGCTACAACCATAATATTATTGCAGCGTGGCTCTACCACGTGGACAAAAGGGAGTGCACCTGTGTTTTCACTTGTGTTTTATGTTTTCACACTTGGGCATTATTATCCTGTTCTGCCCGAAGACGAGTCTCCGTTGAGACTTGCCGCCGCGCCGTGACTGAAATTCGATCTGGAGGACATTATTATTATTGAACAAATAACACTGCTAAAATTAAAAAATATCACAAAAGCACACACATAGTCGAGTTTCTCGAAAAATTTAGGATCTATCGTGCAAAAACGATGTTAAATTTCATAAATAGGTTTATTAAATAAAAATAAGAGTGATAAAACTTCAGTGAATTCGCTATGAGATATATCAGTTAGAGAAAAACGTTTTAATGCTATTTCGGTGTGAGTTATGGCCCAGAATAAATAATAGTATTACGTAGTTATGATGTTTGTACTATAGCAGCTATTTGAAAGCTTTTATTTGCCCAAATTCAAAACACAACAGTGATGCAAATAGCAGCAGTACATTATTATTTTGTAATTGTTTATGTAGAACTATTTGACTCGCACTATTATACGCATTTGGAAACTACTTACAATAACACTAATTCGCTTTTAAACAGTATCATGTAACTCTTTAATACTATAGATATATATTATGGTTCTATATTAGATGTAGCAGAGTTAGCAGAATTGCGTTAAAGGCGTTATGATGTTGATATCAACCAATAATAATAAGTGCCTTCAATAAGGCACTTATTATTTGTTTTCAAAATGCTGTTTTATATTACACAGCTGAAATAAATAATAAGTCGCTATTATAGAACACACGGTCATAACGGACATTACATTAACGCTTTATCCTTTTCAGAACCACGACGAAACTAAACGAGTTAGTGTAAAAAAATAGAAATTCTTTATCGTTGGGGATCAGAGAATACAAAAACTGAAGACTTTCAGTGATATAATGTGTTCTCAGGACTTTTCAGGGGGGCGTACAATTGTATCTACTTGGACCCTACTCATTCCATGTCACAATTGTGACGGTCACAATTGTTACGGTCACAATCGTTACGGTCACAATTGTGTCGATCTAGGCCCAATTCATTCCGAGTCACAATTGTGACGGTCACAATTGTTTTGATGTGGGCCATATTTCTAGCCACTAATAATTGTAATCATATTAAGTTATTGCATTTTTTCAAATTATTCTTATAAAATAAGGTGAATAAAAAGATGTGATGTGTTTATTATGTCATTTATTTTATATTGGTTTAATAGTTTAATCTTTCTCTAACTTAAAACCAAGTTTAACATAGAATTAAAAAGAAATATTATTATTTTAGTTCAACAAACTTTTGCTTAGCATTAACAATAAACTTTATAATCAAATAAACGAAAATATTTTCTTAACCTTAGCATAATAGGAACAACATTTTTTTTTTGTTAAAATTAAAAGAAAAACATACAGTATCATAACATTATTCAGACTTTTCGTTTAACAAGCGTTGTGGAACTTAAAAAAAAAAACAATTTTTATCTTTAGTTATACATAAATATACGTCGCATTTCGAACATCTTGCTCGGGTTCTACTGGTGCAATCAGGCAACCTGCATTTGCGAGGAGCTTTCAACGTATCGAACATTGGCCAATGATTGTAGCCATCATATTTTTGTCAGGTTTCGGCAGTATTGCAGGTTTGTACTCAGAACTAGTCGGTATCGGGGCTAATTCTAAGTCATCGCGAGTTCTTGTTCTAGTCGGTCCACCTAATAAATACTCTGCAATGGATATACGTAATGCCAGCAAGTCCATGACATAATTTTTACGCATATTGGCTTTTCGTGCGTCTTCTCGATACTCAAACCAGGAGTTTGCGATAGCGAGATCAAAGAGATGAATTATGACCTTTACAGTCCACTTCTTGGTTTTGAACCACGTCCTATAGTTTTCAATCATCTGGTCGCACAACTCTATGCCTCCCACGTTGTTGTTGTAATTGGCGACGATGGAAGGACAAGGAATGTTCTTGTAAGTACGCGTTTGTTTGTCTCATCGAAGCCAACAAAACACTTCTGTTATCTTTCCACTTGACCGTGCAAAGTTTTCCATTTGGACTATAAGCTTCTTCGCAATCTCCTCGTTTCATCGCTTGATCCTTCTTGAATGTATACCAGGTTTTTTTTGAATCGGTTTGCCATTATCGTACCGTTCCATCGAAATTGCGATTAATTAGTTCTTCCAGTAAACCAATCGTTGTGAAATAACGATCAAAATATAAACTTCCACCAGGTAATGTTCTTGTCAATTGCAAAACAACTGCAGGACCTAAGGCAAATGACCTATCTGGTAAGTCGGTGGTTGGGCCTTGATATATCTCAAAGTCTAGGGTCAATCCTTGTGGAGTCATAACTAGGAAATTTTTCAATCCTAGGCTTGTTTGCTACATACTGTCTCTGTGCGCACCGATCTGTGAATGGTATCATCTGTCCATCGACAGAATAAGTTGGACTCTCTCGTATGCATGGCAGCGTTTTCTAACTGCATCTATGACTGCTTGCACTTTCCACCATTTATTAGTAGACCGTTCATTTTCGTCAACTCTGTTAGGATCAACTACATGTAAATTGACCCGTAACATAAAAAAGCGCTCACGTGACATAGCATTAGCTATTGGGTCGTATTGAAATTTTTGATGCCAATACATTTTCATTCGAGGGCATTTAATGCAACTCATCATCCCGTGAACTCCAAAGAATTTTTTTATTTCATTAGGTGTACATTGCGGCCTCATTTGCTGCCCTTTTTCGGCCATGTAATATTGCGCAGTACAGATCGCAAACTTTTCAAACAGTTCGGCATCAAAATAATTTTTATAGTACTCCGCAGGTGATTTGGGCGGTTCATTACTTGAACTTTCTTGAGCTTGACTAGTAGTCTTCCCTCGAAATCTTTTTTTTGTCCATTTGCCATCACTTTGATTAGTAGCCGCCCTCAAAGATGAGAGTGGGACATCATCCTCGGAGGAGTTATTATCTTCATCATTTTGCGCATATAAGTCATCATCATCTTCATCAACATCTTCCAAGTCAGACTGTTCCAGTAACTCCCCAATTGCGTTGTCATCGAGGCTAAATAGCGATTCCGCCATGGCAATGTACTATGTAGTTGGGCCCGGAGTGATACAATTGTGACGTTAGACTTCAGTGCCACTTTTTCTTAAGAATTTCCTAAAAATACAAACAAATTCATTGACTGGTACGTAAAACAGTTCAATAATAACAATAAACAACAATCATAACGTGAGAAATACATAATTGTATAGTAGTTTTGATTACTCACGCGCAGCAACACCCCAAACAACACCAACGGCGAAATGAATGAGCTTAAATTTGAACTTCGCGACGCTTGCTAGCTGTCTCACTCATACCTATAGACAGAGCATTACCGTCACGATCGTGCGGCCGTGGGCCCGTTCACATAACGCCTAAAATACCGCCAAAATTTTATTTGACTTAACGTCACAATCGTGTTGGCCTGGGCTGAAAGGGTTATTACAAGTTTTTAGTGATGAAATGGATTCCATAAAGGATACTTTGCAGGTTGGGCAAAGCTGATGACGCACTGATCAAAATGCGTATACGTATATATGGTAGAGCAACGCTGCAGCTATATTATGGTTGCAGAACGAATGGGTCGGCTCGACAAGGGATGACCACATTCTCACAGAATACCAGCGTGAAATAGCAGCTTAATGCTGCTTAAAGAGCCGTGTTTATTGGAAACGGAGCAATCCATCTTAGTCTTCAGGGGTGACAACGCATCTACATTTTGATTAGTAGCCCTTTTATTAAAAAAAAACTCCACGACAATGTCGAAATTCAAAGATTCGGTATATTATCACTACGTTTTATAGAAATCATGTAAAATTTTGACATTGCGAAGTTGGAGCTTAAATTCGAAATTGTCTCGGAATACCGGCCTAAACGCTTTTCTTAGACCACAGAACACTCTCTGTCTCTACCTAGATACTAGGCTAATTTACCGAGAAACTTATCTATAAGATGCCTGATGCTTTATGAAAGTAGTAGAGAAGAGGAAACGAACGAATCAGTTGTTTTAATTTATGTTCTATATGTCAGCTTTCGCTCTAAACTTTAGAAACGTTGAACACTTTAGAGTCTAAAGTGTTCAACGCTCACCCAATATACTTCAATTGCCCTCTATTAAGCGAGTTGTAAATTAGACAGTTTATTTCCTAATATTTCGACGTCAATCTATTAGTCAAATTGGTTGTTCGTTTGATTTCCAGTTCGCTAGTTCAGGTTTCATTATTTCTACTACGCGTTAGACTTGGTCAGTTATTCAACGCATTACATTTCAGAAAAATAAAACAATGAAATCGGTTGTTTATAAAAATTAATAGTTTATAAAAATTATCCCTATCCTAGACGTGCGTGCATGCAATCATACGTGGGAGTGTGTGTGTATGTAGGTTTGTTTGTTATTACAATTTTATGAAATAAAATCAAAATGATATTTATATTACATTTTTATTTTTTTATTTTTCTGGAATCATTTAAAAATTTAGGTGTATAAAATAAATTAATATAAGAGCAATATTTATAATACATATTGTATAAGTGGAATGATTGCTAAATAAATTTTTATTGTAAAATTTTCGAAAAGATAATCCTGATATCTTGCTGGTTCTTCGCAGGATTTTTCCGTACCACTGGCAAATAAAAAATACTTTCAAAAATATATTATCAAATAATTAATTTTTATTCAATAAAAAATATTCTATTATATTATATTGACACTTTAGTCACTTGAAATAATTTTAGGAAAAAAGTCATGAACGTATTAATTTATATTCATATTAATTTTTTAGTAAAAAACGTATATAAAAAATAAAAATAATAAGCTACACGTCTCAAAATTAGTCAATAGATATCAAACGGCAAGCTGCAAGCTAGAACAATAAATTTATATTTAATATGAAATCATGGCCACTTGCAATCATTTCTCAATAGAATTACAGTACAAGAGTTTATTTCAAGCAATTCCCTCAAGTAGGTGATATTATTACAAAGAGTAGAACAAATAACCACTTGTTGTCTTGTTGTCTTGTTAACCTTGAGTTTAACAAAACAAAACCTAAGAAATTAGAAAATCATGCCGGTTCTTGAGTTTATATTTTCATAATATAAACTCAAGAACCGGCCACCCTCGCACACATTTCTGCCGCAAAATATCAGTTTTCACTGCTGTGTCCCGGGGCGTTGAGAGTCAAGTCAACATAATTACACACTGTGAGGCCTCATCTTAGTCCTCAGAGATGACAACGCATCTGTAGCCTCCTCTGTTTAACACTGGCTTCAGGTGTCCTTGAACTGCAGGAGCCTCTTACTATCAGGTGGACTGTAAGTTCGTGTGTTTGTCGTTTATACAAAAATCATCCTTATCTCTACTAATTTTGGGTTTATAATTATTAGGAAATGTATCTGTATGTTACCATTTAGCTTTTAAATATCTCTGACAACCCATAACCGATGGGGAAGAATGGGGAAAAAAGTTCTCAAATAGCAGGCAGCCTCGTATCAGTAGGCAAAGTATAGGTAGCCAACACTTCCCGCCATCATCATAGGAGTGACAAGATGAGATGGCAATGACCGACTACCATGCGCGTCCGCTCTCTGTCGGAACAAGTAGTATCCTAGGGTGGTGTGTCGTTGGCGGTAAGTCTCGATATTGTCAACGTTTTTAAATCTCTACCCTAGGACGCAATCAGAAGAGCACTGGCACACCATCAGGCGCCCTCTATCTGCAAGGTGTTATCGGGGGCTGCTTGCGCGATAAGTACATCCTGTACATGGGGCAAGGTGATGAAAAGTTCCGGAGGGAAGTCAAACGTGGAGTTCCGCAAGATTCCGCTACTGTAGCTGTTACCCGCGCTTTCGTTCGCGTGAAATTTATTACAACTGAATTCATGACCCCAATACTTTTTCTAAAATAAACGTAGCCAAAGTTACTCCTTATAACATTAGCTATCTGCCAGTGAAAGTTCAGACGAAATTGGTTCAGCCATTTTGGAGATTAACTGAAATAGACAATAAAACAGACACAAAAATTTTAAAAATGTTTTTTGTCTTAAAATATTTCAAATAGCTGTGCCCTGCGATTTCACCCGCGTATATCACGTCTGCAACGCGACACCTCTCTCATTTAGTTCGATCATTTTAGCTAAAAATTGTCAAAATTAATAAAGTACTTTTACCTATCGGCATATTTCCGTTATACAGCAAAGTTTAATTTTATCCAATCTCCCTCCCCCTCCTGGATGTGCGTCGACTCCCCGCGCCCCAGAAAGTGCACCAAAACGCGGTTTTTTCCAGTTTTAAAGAGATAGAACATACACGGTACATGAAAAGTTTTGAGTTACGAAACGACCCTTGATGAATTTTCTATCAACTTTTTATACATACGAAAGCGATATCATTCATATTTTTTCAATTTGCCACAAAATATGAACATTTTTATATATAATGTAGCCTAGTTTGTAACTGCGTTACTATTGCATATTTTTACATGAAAAGTAGTTATTGTGACATAACCGTAATAGTTAGATATATGATATTCCAGACTTTTTTGTAGATATTGATATCTTCTGTAAAATTGTAGTACATAACTTTGCTTTATTGGTAATTGTTTACGCAGCGTACGCGATATAAGAATTTTTTTTGGTACTTTTTCACACCGTGGATTACATTAACGAAGTTTTCATACGGATCCCTAACTTTTTCGTAAATATTCTATCGCCTATGTTCATCAGGGCGAATGTAGGATTCTAATGGTGAAAGAATTTTTCAAGTCGGGGCAGTAGTTTCGGAGCCTATTCAATTCAAACAAACAAATCTTTCCTCTTTATAATATTATTAGTGTAGATGTAGATGTAGAAAACAGGGTGCAACTGTACTATTTATTTATTAACACCACTATGCTACCGATAATACATAGATATAATCGATTGTTAACCAAAATCGGTTAGTAATCGATTACTGCGTAATAATTACAATTTTTATGTGTACTTATTTCAACACTAAGTTTAATAAATAATGAAAAATATATCAAAATAGGTTATAATTAATATATTAAATTTAAATAAATTAATTATAAAAAATTAATTAGATAGCTTTTTATATTGAACTCGTGGAGCATTGATAGCCGATTCGTTTCCCTGTTTGGAACATTGTGTATCCAAAAGCATACATATCCTTCTACTTGGTAAAAGTGCTGTGTATCTTTTAGACGCGTGTTTTCTATATATTAGTTTTCTATCATATATATAGAAATCAAACGAACATTATTATGCAAAAATGAAAGCGTTGGCCTGCCGCATTTCTTCGGTATAAATGGTCTAGGGATTGGTTATTTTTCAAGAAAGTAATAGCCTTTTAAATTTTATAGTGATATTTCCCGGATGCTTAGGCAAGTAATCAATAAAACTTTAAATACTTTTTAGTGTTTTATTATATCTCTCTCTATATATTTGGCACCAGAAATGACAAAATAATAAAAAAAATAATTATAATTGTACTTGAAAATCAACAAAAAAATTAGTGACGATCATTGAATTATTTCAATCGAATGAATTGCCCTTTTGTAAAAGTTATCTTTTACAAAAGGGCAATTCACAAACAGAAATTTTGTTACCACTTGGGAAACTTTTCGTAGTTTTTAGTCGCGGGTTTTTCCTTCCCTGCCGTATTTTTTACAGCATTCAGAGCAGCGTCCCTTATTTTCACTCCGTCTTTCATAATAGTGACCATGCAGTGCTTGGCGCTGACTGATGAACTGGGTGTAGCCGTCATTAATATATTGGCTTTTTCAAGCTTTACCTGGTCACTAAGCTCTGTTGTTGTTAGTTTCTTTTTTAGAGTATATTGGTTATACTTATATAAAAAATGAACGTCCACAAAGCTTGTGCCCCATATAATTTCAACCATCAGTTTCCGATACCATTTGGTGCATCTACGTAAAGCTGATCCATAAGTCGTCTGGTCACTGACATCAATTGAGGATTTACCATGGTTATAATCTTCAACACATGTAGGTTTTCTTATGATTTCACCTCTTCTGTTTCTTTTGGTGACTGTTTTAGACCAGATTGCATTGCGGAAAGCAGGAGAACATCACGCTTGTTACGCCATTTCAAGACTATAATACCGTCACCCGATTATTGAGCTGCTATTTCACCTTTTTTCAATTTTCTAGGTATGTATTTCCTGCTACTTCTCAGTGCCGCTACTATATGCGTCTTTCTTTTACGCATTCGCAGTACAAGTGGAACACTTGTGTAGTAGTTGTCCGTGTACATGGTCCTGTCATCATTGAAAAGACCATCTGCCAATGATAGAACCACTTTTTCTGATACTTCTGTGTCATGTTCCTTCAATTTACCGCGGTTTACAACCAGGTTCCATGTTTTTCGTTCCACCTTTGTTCGGAATGTACTGCTGGAAAATAGCATTACCGAGTCAAGCGACCAACAACCCATCGACACAAACTTTTGTCCTGGTGTGTAGACATTTTAATAGTTTGACCGCTAAGTTAGCGGTCAGCCGCCGTAGAGTCTATATTACCTGAGGATGCCTCGTGAGGCGAAACACGTGTCGTATTATCGTCGATGGTGTGTCTTGCCTGGAATAGTGGTGTTGAGAGTAGTGGTGCTTGGTCTAGTGGTGACGGAGTTAGTGTATGCAATTGAGGGAGGGCGGGAGGTGCGCTTCAATCCAGGTAAGACACATTATTTTATATGTTTAGCGGAAAGTTGCAAAGAAATTTATATTTTTATTTTTTATAAAAATAAATGAGTTTTCCATTACATGAATAAAGAGACCGACCAGAGACAATGGAGTTATGGAGTTTAGAGGTAAGGAGAATCAACTCCCATAGGAGAATAGTTGAAAAAGTGTCCATCTGTAAGTAGGTAATAACAATTTTAAAAAGTCCACAATAGCGCTGGAGTAGCTTTTTTAGGTTAGGGTGACAAACGAACACACAGTCCATCTGATGGTAAGTGGTTGCTGCGGCCCATAGACATCTACATCTATCCTCGATTACAAATCAAAATGCAGATGCGTTGTCCCCGTGGAGACTAAGATGGAATGCCTCGTTTCTAGTAAAAAGGGTCTCCGGTACACTCACCATACGAAACACAGCAGCATTAAGCTACTATTTTACGCTGATACTCTGTGAAAGCGTAGTCCTTCCCCGGTCGAGCCGACCCATTCGTGCTACAACTATACTACTAATATAACTGCAGCATGGCTCTACCACGTATAAAAGCTAGAGGGTATGAAATGAACTTAATAATTGTCGACGGGGTGGAATGTGCTGAGTTGAGAAATTTAATATTTGTTGTGAATAAAATAGTTGATCAAACTGCAGTATTTAAAACATCAACTACTCACGTTGTCTAAAATAATTCAGTAAATATAACCTAGAAATAGTCGCCGTAAAATAGTTGAGAGTGGTTTTAAAAATAAAAATTTTATAAATCACAAAATAATTATTATAAAAAAAATTGTGGTGAAAGCCTGTGCAGTAAAAAATTTATAAAAAGTTCTTTAAAATTTACACTCAACTGACACCGTAGCAGTGGCGCCACCCTTATTTTGCGCTTTCCTACGGACTATGGAGTGTAGAAGTAAGGAGTACAGACTGTGTATTAAAAAGTGTCCATAAAAAACCGTTAAATAAGGGTGGCGCCACTATAGCTACGGGCTAAATTTTAAAGAAAAAGCCGAAAAATATTAGTGGGATAGACGACTTTTTCGAGTTTATATTTACTAAATAAAATTATTTTAGATTTTAGAGCTACTGAGCAGTTTAGCAGCACACTTCAAACCGTTGACAACTGCTAAGTTCATTTCATCCCAGTAGCTACTCCAGCGCTGTTGTGCAGAGTTTTTGAACTGTTATTTACTGCTTACAGATGGCCACTTTTTCAACTATTCTACTATGGGAGTTGGTACTCCTTACTGCTACACTCCATACTTTAGGTGTTAGAATAGAACGGCTCGCCCAGAGTTCAAACTCAGGGCATACACGTCCAGCGCATCATGCTTGTGTTTGAGAACTAAGAGGAGTATTAAAAATAAACTTAAAGTTACTAAGTTTCCTTTCAGAAATTCTATGTTTTTCAAAAATAAAAATTACTATTCTTGACAAAAATAGTTCGTTTTCTCTACTACAATACGCTCAGAGCAAATTTTACATAGCTTATTTATTTATTTAGTAATAATCATTCTTGCGATGCATTTTTATACCACAATATTGTAGAGCCATGCTGCAGTTATATTAGTAGTATAGTTGTAGCACGAATGGGTCGGTTTGATCGGGGAAGGACCACGCTCTCACAGAATACCAGCGTAAAATAGTAACTTAATGCTGCTGTGTTTCGTATGGTGAGTGTAGAGAACCGGAGACCCTTTTTACTGGAAACAAGGCATTCCATCTTAGTCTTCATGAGTGATAATGCATCTGCATTTTGATTCGTAATGTTTATGGGCCACAGCAATCAGCAACCACTTACCATCAGGTGGACTGTGTGTTCGTTTGTCACCCTATCCTATATAAAAAAATTGGCCTGTTTCGGCCAAAACTCTCAGAGACATGATTTTGGAGCTCTAATTTTGAGATTGTGTTGAATATCGACCATCAAAAAATATTTTTATCTCACATATATCCTATACTTTACTCTGTCGCACTTGCCATAGCAGTTGTTCTGCTTATTCGAAATGTTGTCCATTCCGCTCGCGCTGCTCTGTTGGGCTCGACAACGCCGCTATGCTTGCCTAATACCTAAGAGTTAATAATCTTGTTTGACAACTTTTATTTAAACTGTTGTTCTGGAGACAGTGTTAAAAAAGATAAAAGAACTACCAACAACAAACTTAATGAAAAGCCCTGATGGCTTTCTGGCTTATGCACAATTTTTTTTATTAATTCGGAATATTAACTTCTGGAAACTAGAATTCTCTATGGAAAAGATTCCAAGATATGACAGTCTTTCCTGACACATAGTAGAAACGTATATAAAATATTGGGTATGTTCCGAAATACAACGCAGTGTACTGTCCAATGCAAATGACGTCATCATTTGACACTTTATTGTACTAGCGTGCCGCCGCCATATTGTGTCGGATATCCGGCCATAATAAAACAATTTTTAATTGTGTGTTTGCCGAATGAACCATGCCAGAATTTGTTTCTATTTATTCAAATACAAAAAATTATAGAATAATTTATGGTATATCCATTAGGAGGATATAATGATTTTTGGAGCACAAAATGACAAAATAATCGCCAACACTTTTCCAAATGGCGCAAAAGTATGACGTCATATACTGTCCAATGTTTTGGAACGAATCACCAGTATAGCGTCGATTCATGACGTCATTTGCATTGGACAGTACACTGCGTTGTATTTCGGAACATACCCATTAAATGTTCTAATGAACTATAACTTCGTTTCCGTTTAGCGACAGTTATATTAAGTACTTAGTACAGGCATAGTCAGCAAGATACGAAGTAATATCTACACATTTGGGAAAAATATCCTGCCAATCACTATTTTTAATAAGTCTGAGAACTTCATGTAGCTCTGCTGATTGAAGATCTTTAAATCATGGGTTCAAGCTCCTAACTTCTTGAACCCATTTACAACTAGACAAATCTCATTATGCCCATATGTTCACCTGATTTGCAAATTAACACAGGCTTTTTGACCTTTCTGGAATTATTTTCATTTTGTATAAAAATGAACACGTTTAGAATTCGGCTGATTCAACTCGGCTGGGCAGCATTCGGGAAATTACGACACATCTTCTCATCGGCTATACCTCAAAACCTGAAAACGAGACAATACAACCGGTGCGTGTTGCCAGTGATTACCTATGGAACTGAGACGTGGTCCTTCACCGCTGGCCGTATTAGGACACTCAAAGTCGCTCAGCGAGCTATGGAGAGGGCTATGCTCGGGGTTTCTCTGCGTGGTAAACTTAGAAATGAGGATATCCACAGTAGAACCATGTGACCGACATAGCCCAACGGATTAGTAAGCTGAAGTGGCAATGGACCGGCCATATAGCTCGAAGAACCGACAACGGTTGGGGAAAAAATGTTCTCGAGTGGCAGCCTCGTACCGGTGGGCATAGTGTAGGGCAACCCCCCACTAGATGGAGTGATGACCTGGTAAGACATGCAGGAAGTCGATGGATGCAGGTGGTTCAGGACCGTGCTTTGTGGCATACCTTGGGCGTGGCCTATGATCAGCAGTGGACTTGTGGAGGGTTGTAATGATGATGATCATGATGAAGTCAAGTAACCAATGCACTTTTGATTGTATCAATCACAGGGTAAAAAACGTTTATTTTAAACAATTCTTTAGGATCAGTTGGTGTCACAACTACGGCTTCGTACACAAATAATATGTTCTATCTTCGGGATCGAGCTGGCCTAAAAATTGGATCTATCTGTTATTAGTGCAGATAAAAAGGCTTGGTACTGTTTCAAAATTTTCAAACAATACGACACCTTTGGTAAATCTATAGATTCAGACTGCATAGCTTTGTGTGGTGTTTTTGCATATTGATTTCCGCACACATAACTATGATGAAAATTTCTGCCTGGAAAATAGAGGTGAATCTACCCCAATTCATCCTAAGTTTGAATTTGTTATACCATATAAGGCTACCGATCTCACAGATAAAGTGTCCATTCAGCCAGTCTTCTCTGAAGGGTAGTTCCACTACATAATACTTATTACAAGTTTATAATGGACGCATGATATCTGATCTGAGATCATTCTTCTCTTAGAAAAAACGGCATTAACGTGGCATTCAAAACAAACAATTCGCTTACGAATATTTGTAATAATAAAGATAAGTTTAAATATTAGTCAAAAATCGGGTGTTTATAAACTTGTTTGTGACGAATGCCACAAACAAGTTTACGTGGTCCCCACGCCGTTAACGTGGGTCAGACTGGTCGCAATTTCGGGACGCGCTATAAAGAGATAATTTAGGTTTATTATCGCGCGGCGCGGTCACTCGCTACTTTGGTGGGGAGTGGTTGTGTCGGCGTGTATAAATAGCAGCTGTTTCGGCTCGCCGCTCACTTAGCGGTCAGTCTGGGTCAGTCGCCGTAGGCTACATTACCTGAGGATGCCTCGTGTAGAGGCGGAACACGTGTATTATCGTCGACGGTGTGTCTTACCTGGAATAGTGGTGTTGGAAGTAGTGGCGACGGAATTAGTGCACGCAATTGAGGGAGGGCGGGAGGTGCTCCAGGTAAGACACATCATTGTAATTAGTTAGCGGAAGGTTGCGAATTAATTTATTTATTACTTGTACAATACATCAAGTAAGAGGCCAGTAAGCCTTTTTCCGAAGTCACTTACTAACTTGTAAGCAACAAAATACTCGTGCTTTGACTTCCTACTTAGCGTTTATAAAACGGAATGTTGATGATAAGAGTTACTGAATTGGTGACCGGTGCCGAGTGGTAGCATTTCGGTTGATTTCGCATCTATTGTTATAAAGAACTTTATTCATTTAACAACAAAAAGCATTAATTTATAACACAAATAAAGATAAGATAATAGAAAAATAAGTTACGCCTTTTGACATTAGGCTCATATCTGAGGTCATTGTCCGTTTTTTTTCTATCTGTTTGGCACAACATATTATATGAATATTTATTTTGAATGTCTCCCTTAGACCTTAAGGGGACGCTGTTATAAAAAATAAAACTTTTGTAATAAAAACAGCGTGTATAATTATTATACTTTTATTTTCCTTTAACTATTCAATATTGTACATTATTAGAGGCACACAATACCTAAATTACTTGATATATGATTGAAGGTATAAAACCCTCTTACAATGGACGGATGTGTGTGAAGATGTGTATGTATTGTACACAAAATTGATATGTATTTAAACATTATTAAAATAATAAAATACAAAATAAAATAATTTAAAAAAATCTGCTAATTTCTCAATTAAACACTCGCAACGTTTGCCATAATATAACTGCAAAAAAAAACAGATTAATATAATTCATCTAATTATCATGGCAAACATTGTTTGCAGTACAGATAAAATATAAACTAACAATCGGTTCTAAAATTCAGTCTCGAAATATGTCATTCCTTTTCTGTAAATAAAAAGTAATAAAAAAATTATATAATAATAACAATCTTTATTGATGATAATACGTCTTAATTGCATTCGTAGCCTTAATTATCCAAAAACATAAGTCAGCTCCTAATGAGACGAAAAAAAGATTTTCAAAAAATAACAACTAATTCAGCAAAATAAACTAAAAATCTAAATATTTAAATGCATTTATGAATTATTTTAATTAATAGTTATAGACAAAATAAGGTTCCTAAATAAAAATATGATAAAAAAGTGCATAGTGATGACAATATTTTTATAAATTTGAATTATAGCCAGACCAGAAAAATAGAAACTCTGCAATAAGGGTTACTTCAGGGTCAAAAAAATAAAAATTCCTTTACCATTTAGCCAAATAAAACACTGGAATTCCTTTAAAAGCCCATTTTAAAAACTTTTTGAAACAAAGTAATGTTTACATCATTATGTTTAATATAAGCAGACCTACGGATATTTTTATAAAGACCCTGATTGAAAACTTTATAATGTTTTAATAATGTATATTAATTATATATTTTATTTTGTTCAAGTCATTTTCTGTGTGATTGCTCTGTCACTAATAAGACGTATGTCTAGAGGAAAAGCCTCAAGACTCAAGATATTTATTAAGACTACAAATCCATTTTGATCCGCTGTGGAGATACAAGAAGGTGATACGCTCATTAGCCACTAATTTGTAACTAGTTTTTAAATGAAAAAAGTGCCTTAATAAAATTATATTTACGAATATACACAATGTGGAAGAAGATTATTTTTCTGGTTAGACTTAATGTTATTGCAATGAAACATATGAAATTAACAATTAGCTTTTTAGCTACGAATCAGATCTATTTAATATTGTAATAAAGAGAGCACCGTTAAAATAAAAAAATGTTCCGCATTTCATCTAAAATGCAAATATAAATGGATTTATTTATAGGTATGTCACAGTAGTAACAAATTTAAGAAATTTAAATTAAATTTTTATTCTCATGGCCAATGGAATGCATATAACTGGTATTTTTGGAACACATTGGGAAATAGGATAGCGTATAAATTTTAGGACTACAAATTTCATTATATGATAAGGGATTCTTATTGATATTATATATATATATATATATATATATATATATATATATATATATATATATATATAGTTTATTTGAATATTAGTACTATAATAATACTGTCCTTTGTATTTTTTGTAATATGGAATGTAATAAAGAATAAATAAGTAAATAAACAAATGAACCTAACGATTGTGTTAAGAGACAGTTTGCAATCGCATTGCGGATTTAAACCCATGAAATTTAAATTTTGCTATAATTATCAGACACATGTACTTACAATATATATATATATATATATATATATATATATATATATATATATATATATATATATATATATATATATATATATATATATATACAGTATAATCTCACTAATCCGGCACTTCGATAGATCGGCACGTCCAATAATCCGGCACCCTCCGCCCACGCCTCCCTCGCCCCTCTATACCTGTGCGCTTCGGTCGCTGCGTCATCGACGAGCAGTCTAACCTCAAAACTTATCACGTGCACGTGCTTACGTATTTGTTTTTTTTTTCCAAGTGAGAATAGTTTATAGTTAAAAATGTCAAATAAACGCAAACACAAGACACTAGATTTGAATAATAAAATGGAGATTTTAAAGAAGTTAGATAGTGGAGAAAACATGTGCAAATTGGCAAAAGAATATGGTGTTGGGCGTGCTACTATACACGATCTTAAGAAAAAAAGGCAAAAGATAGTAGACCACGTCAAGACAATGGAATCGGGGCCAGGAAAGCGTAAAACACTAAAAGTTGGCGATTGTCCAAAGATGGAAAACGCTCTTTACATGTGGTTCTTGCAACGGCGTTCTAAACACACTCCTATATCTGGAGAAATTCTGAAAACCAAAGCAATCGAATTTTATAAAAAAAATTACCCACAAAGATGATTTTCGTGCCAGCGATGGATGGCTGGATAAATTTAAAAAGCGATTTGGTATCCGTCTCTTAACAGTATCGGGTGAGAAATTATCAAGCGACGAATCTGCAGTACAGCCATTTATCCAGCATTTCAAAAACAAAGTAGAAGAACTGGGTCTTCTTCCTGATCAAATCTATAACGCAGATGAGAGTGGTCTGTTCTGGAGACTGTTGCCCAATAAAACATTCGTGTCTTCTACAGAAGCAAGTGCACCAGGTCGTAAAGTGAGTAAAGACAGAATCACATTCATGCCGTGTTCAAATGCTACTGGAACGCACAAATTGGATTTATTAGTGATTGGCAAAGCAAAAAATCCCAGAGCTTTCAAGAACATTTGTCTGCCAGTCTGTTACAAGAACCAAAGTAGAAGTTGGGTCACGAGAGAGGTATTTAGCGAATGGTTTCATAAAGACTTTGTCCCAGAAGTAAGAAAATTTATGAAAAGATCTAACTTGCCCATAAAAGCTTTACTCGTACTTGACAATGCTCCAGGCCACCCAAACGAACAAGAACTTAAATCAAGTGATGGGAATATCCAAACCACCTTCTTACCACCAAACTGCACACCTTTACTGCAGCCGATGGATCAAAACGTTATCCAAAAAATAAAGTCTTTGTATAAAAATAAATTGCTGATCCATATTATATCTCAGGATGGTGATATAACGCAGAGCCTTAAAGGAATGAATTTGAAGGATGTTGTATTCTCTCTCGCTCATGCTTGGAAGTCTGTTTCATCTAACTTAATCCAATCTTCATGGAAAAAGTTATGGCCCACAATGAATGATGTATCAGAAACAGAAGAAACAGATGAATGGGATCCTGAAGATAATATGCCTATTGTCGATTGGTTAAAAAATCTATCAGAAAAAGGATTGGAGACAAGTGAGGAAAATATAAATTCTTGGTTTGAAGGAATCGAAGAAACAGAGCAAATTATGACAGATGAAGAAATAATATCTGAAGCAGTACAAGAAGAAAGCTTTGTAGAAATATTAGAGCCACCAACTACTACAACTGCTATAAGAGTTAAACCAGATAATGCATTGATGTGTTTCAATACGTGCATAACATGGGCAGAAGAAAACGGCATGTCTGCCAAAGATATTATAATTCTTCGCAACATGCGAGAAAAGGTTTTTAAGCAAGGACTACAAGTTGCACAAAAGCAGACCTCAATTAAGGATTATTTTAAAACTACATAGTTAATCACATATGTACCTACATGTTAATCGAATACATTACATACATTGACTCCCTCTATGAAATATGTACTTTATTTTATTCTTTACCTATGACTTTTTCACTATAATCCAATAATCCGAACATTCCAATAATCCGGCACCCTCCGGTTTTTAATAGTGCCGCATTAGTGAGATTATACTGTATATTGCAAACTGTCTCTTAACACAATCATTAGGTTCATTTGTTTATTTACTTATTTATTCTTTACAAAAAATACAAAGGACAGTATTAATGCTCCTAGGCATTCTTAAACAGGTAAACCCATGCATTAGTGAGAATTTGAGCTAGGTGTAGCAATATATAACAAAACTTGAGATTCTTTAAAGAATGTATTATCACTAATATTCAAATAAACCACTGCAACTAGGCTTAAATTTCTTGGTCCATGACGGTAGCCGAATGGCGGTTTTTAACTCTTTTAGTATTATAGTTCTGCAGTATGTACCCTTAATCTTTAGCCTACAAGCATTTTAAAAATTGATTATTAGTAATATTCTAAGCAATGTTGGACGAATTATGTTCCCTACATTATTATAAATATTCAGTACATATATTAATATTTAACATACAAACTATCTACAAGTAACAGGCACTTCATTGCAATGCTTTGGACGGAATTAAGTTTACGCTGATCACATAAGACACTAAGATACAGGGCATTAAAATGTTTGTGGTGAGCACATACAAAACAGGCTAAATTAGATCGATCACTTGCTAAATTAATATATAACTTATATAATATGACAATATAATATTTGAATGTATAACGTAACATAGTTGCTTGCAGTTATGTAAATAAAAATTAAATATTAGTTATAATTATACTACCATTATACAGGTTGAAATTTAAATCACTGTCATTCTTTGAAACTAAGAATATATTAATGTTATACAAACAATGTTGGGATTAAATAACGTAAATTTAAATATTGCAAGTAAGGAAAACTTTAGAAATTATTAATCATTTTTAAGTTTTATAAATATATCAATCAATCGTCAACTCTTAAGCAACACTCGTCAAAGATTGCGACGTCTTGACGATGACTGCTTATTTTTAACTTTTTTCGTTGCTTTTTTCCTGAGTCATTACATATTTAATTGACCTAAAATATTCCTCAATATGAGTAAAATAACAGGTTCATTGGATGTCAATGGATTTAATTTCATCCTGTACATATTTGAGATGAAATAGAGTATAATATAACACATACAAACACTCATTTTACTACCTGCTAACATGTAACTTGAAAAATAAAGTTGTATGTAAACACCAGTATTTAACGTCAAAGTGTCTTGTATTCAATCAATATCTTATTTGTATGTTGTCAAAAAGTAATAATCTAATTTAAAAAACGGAACACGATTATTATTTAAGACACTACTAAAAGTAGAGAATTAAAATGATTTGATATAGTAATTTCTTCGTAACATCGTTAACTACCTAGTTGTTAATCATTTAATTAATAAAGAAGGCAAAATTTTAAAATATTTCTAAGCCATATTAATTTTTTCTCACATTATGTACATTGCCAAATGGAATACAAATTTCAAGGAGACAGTAATCATTCACGTTTTTATTTACTGCTTTTCTTCTTCAATTTTCCTATTAGAGATTATGAAAACAATTTTAAAGTAACATTCCTATGACCTAGACTTGAATCATTAATAATAGCTTAAAACTGAACACAATGGAATAATATGGTCGCCATTTTGAATTATAATTATTTTATTCCAATGTTTTAATTTTTATTGGTGAAAGTAGTAACCTCATATCGCTGCGATATTAAGAGATTGACTTTTAGTATTTCCCACTACCCATTGGAGAAGACGAATGCTTAATATATGTAACCAAACGAAAACTGGACCAAAAATTTGCAATTCAAAATCAAATTAACAATTTCCATCTTAAATATTATATTTAATTTTGTGTTTAAAGTCTATACAACATTAATATAAACAGAAAGAAGATATGGTACGCCTGAACATTATATAATTGAAAACTGGACTATGTGCACTACACACGTAATCTTATCCTTAAAGATCAAGAAAACATCAGAAATGAGACAGACTCTGATTTTAGAACTCCATCCCACTTCTAAAGTTACTTTTGATTTCACCTGAGTGATTGGTATATTTATAAAATGAGAAGGAATGAATTTCGATGACCAATTAATGAATATTAAGTATCTTATCTTTTTTTGAGAGCAGCGTTCACGTGTACAAGACAATATCGCCGCCACTAAATTATGTGTACGAAGTTTTCGTGTTCCACTTGTTAACGGCTAAGTAACTAACTATCTTCCCTTTCTTATTTTAATCTATGGTACACGATTATTTTAATATAATTCCTACAATATTAATTAAAGTTACACCCAAAAAGGCGTTACAATTTAGAACATAATAATATGTCAATTATTCATGATAAAAATCAGATCTTGAAATAGATACATACAAAAACTTAAGGCTGTTTTTACCAATAATGTCGGAGGTAGTCAGTAGTAGGCAGTACAAAAACTCTACTCAAGCATTATCTCAAAATGCACGACGCCTAACTTCTCCCTCCGGTCGTACTTGATATTCTTTGCCCATGCGCGGCACTCGATATTTATCAATATACCGGCTGAAACAAATGTTTATATTAGAAGTTTTTTGAAGAATAAGTTTGGCAAACAAGTGCACCTAATAGTAAGTGAATGCCTTGAACGAATTAACCACTAGACCCGACATAAAACACAAATGTATGAAAACTCGTTCAATCACAATGATTTTATTACGTTAATATAAACACAGATACGAAATTCGTAGTAGTTCACTATATTTCTAGTGCTTGAACATAGTCGATAAAATATATCGATGAACGACTGAGAACAACAACCCTCTTTTTCTTCCTCTTCATCTTAGTCCTGAAGGGTGACAACACATCTGCGTTTTAATTCTTAAATTACGTAACTTTTAATTTATATTTATTTTTATTATTTATTGTTGTTGCTATAGCGACAACAGAAATACACATTCTGTGTATTTAACAGTGGTAGAGCACGCGGCAGCTTTGCTGTTGCACGTATGGGCCGGCTCAAACCGGGGTGGCACCACGACCTCACAGAATACCAGCGTGAAGTGGAAGCTCTGCTTCCGCGTTTCGTCTGGTGAGTGCAGGTGGCCGGAGGCCCAAATCCCCCTCCCATCAACATGGTATCGGAATTAAATGTTAGACTACCCCAGGAGGGTACCAGCACTCCTGGAGAATCCTCGCTGAGCATCCTGAGTTACTCCACTCTTGAGCGTAGGTGCTCACTGACCCATGATGCAAAGGAAAAAGCCGATCCGCTAGGCTCTTTCTTTGCGTCCAACTCGACTCTCGATGACAGGGGGAGTACGCCGCCGACCATCTCGCGGTGTAAGTGCTCCATGCCGGAAGTGCAGTTCACACAGCACTCGGTTCGTAAAGCACTCCTTTCCCTGGACATCCACAAGCCGAGTGGGACTGACGGAATCCCCCCAATTGTGCTGAGGACATGTGCTCCAGAGTTGGCACCGGTTTTAACGCGTCTTTTCCGGTCCTCCTACTCCCTAGGCGTAGTCCCAAAATCATGGAAGACGGCTTTCGTCAACCCGATCCCTAAAAAAGGCGACCGCTCAGACCCGTCCAACTACAGGTCTATAGCCATCACCTCCTTGTTCTCCAAAACAATGGAGTCCATTGTAAACTGCCAGCTCCTGAGGTACCTTGAGGATCACGAGCTGATTAGTGATCGCCAGTACGGTTTTCGCCATGGTCGATCAGCTGGTGATCTTCTGGTCTACCTAACTCACAGATGGGCGGAGGCAGTAGAGTCCAAGGGGGAGGCATTGGCCGGTAGTTTGGACATTGCGAAGGCCTTCGATCGGGTTTGGCACAAAGCGCTTTTTCCAAGCTCCCTTCCTATGGGCTTCCCAAGAAATTGTACAATTGGATCACCAGCTTTTTTGCAGATCGGAGCATCAAGGTCGTTGTAGACGGTGCAAGCTCCGATTAATAGCCGATTGGGCTATGACCACGCTCTTACAGAATACCAATGTAAATAGCTGCTTAATGCTACTGTGTTTCGTATGGTGAGTGTAAAAAACCGGATACCCTTTTTATTGGAAATGAGGCATACCATCATAGTCTTCAAGGTTGGCATCGGCATTTTGATTCTTAATTGAAGATAAATGTAGTTGTCTATGGGCCACTTACTATTAGGTGGACTGTATGCTCGTTTGTCACACCCATTCAATTTTTTTTTAATCTGACATTTTATTAAAACCTGTAAAGTATTTAGGTGAAGGCTTTATGAGTTACAGCGGACCTGTGCCCTTCCTTGCTTGATTACAGATTCTAAAGCTTGCAGTATGAATGTATGTGTGGGTGCAGTATGTAGGTTCCTAAAGTTGCATATACGGTACATAAGGCAGTTAACTCTTATGCGTAATTAAAATAATATTAAAATTAGGTAAAAGCAGGCCTCTGTCACTCTTGCTACCTGCGTGAAATAATTACCTAAAATCGCGACGCGCCCGGGCGAAATAACGCAGTCAAGGCTAGCACGTTGGAGGCGATTGAATGTTAAAGTTTTTAACGCTGTTTACGTAAATAGTTTTATATAAATACTTGTTGAAATAGTTTTTGTTTAATGTTTAGTATATTTAATAGGTAAAAATAGTTTAGTAGGTAAAAATAGTTGTAAAAGTTTTAATGTATTTGAAAAATTATTATTTGATAAATTATAACAGCAAAACGTCGTTCCTACTATAACTGTTGCGTGGATGGATATTAAATGAAATGACCAACAAAAGAATTCATCATTCTTTAAGTTACCGAAGAATTTTAGAAGGAAGTTATGAAAAGGTGAATTTATTTCATTTTTTTTTTTTTGTTGTACTTACAGCAAAAAAGAATTAAGTAATAATTTGGTCTACAGAAGAAATACCTATGTACTTT